AGGCGTAGTCCTCAAAGGTACCTTCGAGACCAAATCTTTTGGTGTGGTTTTCTGACATGTGTCACAAGATTGCACAAACCTTTTAGTGTCGCTTTGCATGCATGGCAAAAAAACTCTTCAGCGACCCTGCTAGTTGTCTTTCTTAATCCCTGATGGCCAGCCATAATAGTGTCATGTGCGAAGTCTAGAACAGCCCTTCGTAAACTCACCGGCACTGCTAACTGTGTCTTTTCCCCTCCTTCATGGGTCTTGACTATTCTGTACAGCAGCCCTGAAAGCTTCTCAAACTTATGCACGACCTGACTCTTCTTACAATAGATCCATTTGCCCTGAATCTCAAAACACCGTCGCAGCGTACTGTCCGCTTCCTGAATTCTCCCCATTTCTGCTGCAGTTATGTCTATGGCTGCTCCTGAGTTGTTCTCCTTGATGCCCTCCTTTTCCTTTTCACTCTTGTTCCTCGTAGCTTTCTCCACGGCATAGGCGGAATCTTCCCTCGTATGCTGATCAACACATGTCACGTTTATCCATAACCTTATGAGGTTGGAACTCCGTGCCCTCAGCGCGCGTTGCAGTAGGCAATCTCCAGAGGGGATCCGGATCGTCAACTCCTCTGACCCATGGCATATTACCGAGAATTACGTCATATAGAGGGTCTTTGACACATCGGGCTTCAATCCAACTGCAGTAATACGGCGACAAAATCAGTACCCTAGCAACTGGCATCCGCCGTACCGTTCCATCAGCCAACCGAACCGGCTTTTCTGTACCCGTGATATCTGTTTCTGGTACCATGGATTCTCTTACAAGTACAATGTTGGAGCCCGTGTCTCGAAGTACCGACACTTTACGTCCGTGCAACATCCCCACGACCACTGGCATAGTATCTTCGGCTTCTCCCGCCTTGACAGAAGTCGTAACAGCACTTGTCTTATCCTTGTCCTCCTGGTCACGTTGCTTTTCCCTGTCAGCATCAGCAGAGCTTTTATCTGCAACCATGCAAGCCGTTTTATTTCCTGACCGATCACGACAGGTTTATGTTGTGTGCCCACGCTTTCCGCACCGATCGCATTTCGACGATGAACTGTGAGTGCGACCCGCAGCACAATTTGCTGCTCTATGCCCAATTTTGTCACAGAGGTAGCATTTGATTGCACTCTGGGTTTGCTCTTTCTTCTCCAAACCTTTCTCATCTTGGGCTTTCCCTAGCTTCCTTTGACCTTGAGCTTCCAAATAACGGTCGGCGTGTTCGGACAGCTCAGCCACCGTCTTCAAGTTCCGCTTCATCAGGAATATTGCCACTCCCTTGTGACACAATGCCAGGAATTGTTCCGCAATCATGTTATCTCTTAGATCCTCGAATGATCTCTCTACGTTAGCCATCTCCAACCACCGGTCGAAGTAGTTGGTGATTCGAGCAGCGAACTGCTGGCCTGTCTCATTTTCCTGTGGTTTCAAGCTCCGGAATTTCTTTCGTAAACCCTCGGCACTTAATCTGAAGCGTTGGAGCTGAGCCCTTTTGACCTTGTCGTAATCTAGTGCATCCGCTGCTGGCATCCGGCTAAAAACAGCCAATGCCTCTCCCGCAAGGCACATGCTCAATTCAGTCGCCTAATCACTCCTCTGCCAGCTTTGTCCTATCGCAATTCTCTCGAACCGCTGTATATAAGCGTGGAGGTCATCTCACCTTTCGTCAAAAGGTGCGATTAACTTACGCGGGCTCACTTTTGGTGGTTGGGGTACCATCTCTGACCTATCTGGTACTTCCACACAAGTGTTTCGCGCAACTGCAATTTTTTTTCAGTGAGCTCTTTTTCCAGCATTAAGTTTTTATAAGTTCGTTCGTCTGCGGCTCTCGCTCTCTCTTCAGTGGCTTTCGCTCGCTCTTCAGCGGCTTTCGCTCGCTCTTCATCTTCTTTCGCGGCCTCTCGTGCCTCCTCACGCTCTTCACGTAATCTTTTCTGTTCCTCATGATAGAGCGTCATTATAGCCTCAGCCGATAATCCCGCAGCACTACCGGCTGCCATCAAGCGTTCCAGATCCATTTCACGGCCCCCGACAGACCTAGGCGTGTGACAAAGTTACATGGATCCTGGCAGGCTCGCCATTGTCACGCGTATATGCTGAGGCCTGGTTCGCTCGTCAGGCATTGCGAAATGAATCATCGAGGCTGACGGTACCAAAGGAAAACTCCCACTTCATTACCATAAAAATCACAAAACGAAACAACAACAAAAACACGCACACGTTGAAAAACAAAGAAAAGAAGATGTCCTAATGACGCGCGTTTCACCGTCCAATTCCGTTTGCGTTCTAGAGAGTTCTCTCGCTTACAGTTGTGGCGTGGCCTCCGGTCCGCTGGGAGTCCCTCTCAGGCGTGATGACACACCATAACGATGCTCAACGGTGGCGACGACGTTGAAGAACCACTACAGCGGTAGCTTCAGTGGTTTCTCGCCGAGGCAGGTGCTCGGGTGGGATACACTGCAGATCAGGGTCGGCGGTGGTTCCGGGGCTGCTCGCCGAGGTCGGTGCTCGTGTGAGAAACTGCAGCCCAGGATCGGCGGTGGTTCCGGGGCTGCTCGCCGAGATAGGTGCTCGGGTGGGAAACTGCAGACTAGGATCCGCGGTTGCTCTGTGAGCTGCTCGCCGAGTCAGGTGATCGGGCGGGAAACTGCAGCCCAGGATCAGCGGTTGCTCTGTGAGCTGCTTGCCGAGTCAGGTGCTCGGGCGGGAACCATTGCCGTCCAGGGGCTGCGGTACTTCCTTGCGCTGCTCGCCGAGTCAAATGCTCGGGCGGGAGCTTGGGGCTAGACCCAGTCCGAACTTCCGCAGCTCTTGGCCCCTCAAACGCCACGTCCCGGCCCTCACGTTCCTCCCTCGCCCCGCTCCCTCTTCTTTTTCGTTTTCTTCCCCCTCATTCCAGCATTTTAAATTACCTATTCAAGGTAACTTCTTTCTCTTCCTCTTTTCTTCATTTTGTCATTCTTGACAGCCCTGTACAAGTCGTGTCACCCCAAGGTGGATGATGCCTTTTTGGAGCAGGTGACTCGCCTTAAAGTCGCAGGGTTCACGTCGGATGTGGTATTGTTTGTGACTGAAGGCTTGCTTAGAGACGTCAGGGATTCCAGGAGAAAAGAAGAGTGCAACGTGAGATCGAGGGTGCAGGATAAGAAGACAGCTGTAGTACCCTACATGCATGATGTTTCACACAGGCTTAAAAAAACTGGAGTGGGCGCAGGGGTGCGTGTGGTTTTCTCAGACCCTGGGAAGCTTTCTGGCCTGTGCAGCTCAACCTCTTCAATAAGAGAGAAAAGAGTCTGCACCACAGACCATAAGTGAAAGTTTGTTCTATGCATTCAAGGCATCGTGTACGTCATTGCTCTGATGTGTAGTAGAAAGTATATGAGTTAGACGGGACGCTATCTGATAGAGAGACTTCGTGAACACTATTATAGCGTTTACACCACAGTATTAAGGCACCTCGGCATCCATGTGTAAGACTACAAGTGTAGCCCTGCCTTTGAAAAAACCGCGGCCCTTACACGCAGTCGGGACCAAAGGGTGAGGGAAATCATTGAGGCCAAGGAAATTAAACGGTCTGGAGATGCCTGCGTAAGCATGCCTTGCTTGCACCTTTCTGACAAAGAGCTTTTTTTTTTGGCGAGTCATGGAAAGGGGGGCCGTATTAGTGCTCGTCTGTGACTTATTGGCACTTCTTCAGTTTTCACCTTTTGATTTTTCTTCCTGTTTTTTATCTTTTCTTGCTTTGCCTGTCTATATATACATGCATTTCAATCTAATCAACTTTAGTTGGAAAAATGCACTGTGTTCTCGTTCTCTCGCTCATTTGTTGTCTGTTTTTTGCTCTGCATTATATTTTGATTGACTTGTTCGAACTCGCCCAACAAGCAACGCTGCTAAGTTATATTTCCATAAGCATGCACACAAGGGGGGCAAGAGAGCTACCACCCCCCAAAGCCACCTCAGAGGTGGGGGGGCGTAGTTTCTGCCTCATACATTGACCTAAAGAGACAAGGTTGGAGGCAATGTCTGGCATATACTTTGACTTGATAGGAAGGGGGGCACTGCAACAAACCTTTACCCCCATTGAAGGGGAACACTGCGCACGCCTATGCCTGGCTCCTATCTTCTTCAATTTATGGCATGCTTTATGAAAATATGAGACCACTACTGACTTTTTGTTATGCTTTGTAGATTCTGTGCTTTCATTTTGTTTCATCTCTTTTAGCATATTTTATTCAACTGATACCACCACGCTGTCTAGGTAGCCACTTTTTTGTAGGTGCCATATCTGCAGGTTAAAGCTTTCAGTGCATCTGTGCGCACAAGATCTGTCTGATTGCTTTTGTCATGCATGTGTTACTATCTCATTATTCACTTATCTGTGTTTGCAGAATCAAAGTGAAGTAGGCCCTTTTCTCCTCTCGTTTGATATTTGTAGCTCATGTGACTTCTTTTTTGTTTTATGTCAAGGTCTAAGTATTGCAGAGTGTTTTCGTTTTTGGCGGGAACTTTGTGGGTTAAATGCAAACCCTCGTGTGCATTCTCAAATGCTTTGACTATTTTTGTCGATGCTGAATTTGTCTTTGGTTGGTCTAAGCTCACGAGATAGTCATCAACAAACCTGAAGCACTTGGTCCACATTGGTCCTTTGAAACTGCTTTGGAGGTTGTCCTGTCACCTACCACCAAAAACGTTGTGTGCTTTTTCTAGGCATGAACATTGGCAAAGCTTGTCATCCATCTCACTTTCTTTGTGGGTGACTGTTGTGCTGCTGTGCTGTAGTTTTTTTTTGCTTCAATTTTCACTTGATGTCTAAAGTGGAATGCTCTCAATATGTTCTTGCAAATTTTGTTTTGTTGATCAAACAGTGCTCATGTTAGGCATGCACTGTGAGTGTAACTGTGAATCCCTATGCTATGTATTCGCCAGTGTTTTGGTTGATTGTAATTTTCCTGTATTTTCACGTCACATAGGAATCCAACAGTGCAAAGGAACGTGCTGAGCCAAGGGCTTTTGCCACAGCTGCTGCGCCTCATTGTTCTAGACTCATCAGAACGAGTGAGGCTGCGTTGCCTTTTTGCACTGTCATGCCTGGTGCGCCAACTCCCAGAGGCTCAAGAAGCACTGCTTCACCATGGTGGGCTGACAGTGCTTGCAGGCCTCTTCACTGTGCCAGACAGTTCGATCAAGTTGCAGCTGAAAGCACTTACGCTCTTGCATGACCTGGTTGTTGAGCAGGTGAGAGATTTGGGAACTTTTTTCTTACGCCATTATTTTATATGCACTCAGATGGAGCATTCATTGCATGTTAGTCCATATATGTGTGGCTATGACTCTTAGGTGTTTGTGTGTGTTGATGCTTCAATGCTCGAGTTTCTTATCAGTGACCAAGACTATGGTATGGTCAGCTTAGTATGTAGTCCCAAAAGCACTTAATATAAACTGAGAGGAACAGTCTCATCCCTCCGTGCCCGTTTGTTGGTTACGCTACGTTGGTGCTTTTGTTCGGATGAGTGTACAGCTGAGCCCCATGACAGCGAAACTGGGGGGTTGGGGTTGTAGTGTGATCTTTGTAAACCAAGTGGTGAATGCCGTGTCCTCTTTTGATAACTGCCATGGCACTTTCTTGATCCATTTCCCAGCCATAGTAGGATGTGCTATCACGAAAGGGGCATAGAAATTGGGGGAGGGCATGCACATTGTTCAGTTCCAATGGTCAGTAGCATGCTACCGCTGCCATTCAGTTGTTAAGTTGGGGGTTGTCAGGATCCCACTGCTTCTAATCGTTGTTAAGTTGTTGGGACTTTGCCGTTACCGGCAACGGGGACTCGAGAGGAAGATGCCGAGAATGAAGAAACTGATGAGGAATACTGTACAGAGGTTTATTTTACATTATTTACAAGGAGCCTTTCTCGCCACATGACGAACATCTAGACGAAGATGTCGTCCTACACCGTGACAATCTTGTCGAAGGCTCTCTCAGGAGCCCACTGCGGCTGGTTATCAAGAGTTCTTTTTCCACTCACCCTTAGATGGGGGAATCACTTTACACTTCTCTGTCAAACCACCGGACACACATCAGTGACATCACTTTCGGCGGTGCGATCCACACCCACCCTGGTCTACGTCTTTGACCAGGACGTGGCCATCATACTCTCCCTCTTGTGCCAAGTTGTCTTTTCCTTGAGGTGAGAATGCCGAGGGTGTTAACTGGGATATAATAGGGCTCAGGGAGGTTAGGAGGACAGATAAGGCCTATACGGTGCTACAGAATGGGCACGTCCTTTGCTATTGGGGCTTGGCTGATAGAAGAGAACTGGGAGTGGGGTTCCTAATTCACAGAAACATAGCTGGCAACATAGAGGAATACTATAGCTTTAATGAAAGGGTGGTAGGTATTGTAATTAAACTGAATAAAAGATACAAGATGAAGGTGTTACAGGCTTACGCGCCTACATCCAGCCATGATGACTCTTCAGTTGAAAGCTTGTATGAAGATGTAGAATCGGCAATGAGTAAGGTGAAAACACAGTATACTATACTGATGGGAGACTTTGATGCAAAGGTAGGGAAGAAGCAGGCTGGAGACCAGGCAGTAGGAGATTATGGCATCGGTACTAGAAACGCCAGAGGAGAGCTACTATTAGAATTCGCAGAACGCAATAATTTATGTATTTTGAATACCTTCTACCGAAAATGAGGAAACTGCAAGTGGACATGGAGGAGCCCTAATGGAGAAAATAAGAACGAAATAGTCTTTATAATGAGTGCACACCCAGGCATCGTGCAGGATGTGGAAGTGGTTGGCAAGGTACGATGCAGTGACCATAAGATGGTACGGTCTCGAATTCTAGACTTGAAGAAGGAACGACAGAAACTGATACGCAAGAAGCCAATCAATGAGCTAGCACTGAGAGGGAAAGTACAGAAATTCAGAGTTTCGCTTCAAAACAGGTACTCGGCTCTTAGTGAGGAAACCAACCTCAGCGTAGATACAATGAATGATAATCTGACGAGTTTCATTACCGAGTGTTCAGTGGAAGTTGGAGGCAGAGTATTTAGACAGGACACTGGCAAGCTTTCCCAGGAAACGAAGAATCTCATTAAGAAGCGTAAAATAGTGAAAATCTCAAGTACAACAGACAAAATAGAACTTGCAGAGCTTTCGAAGTTGATTAATGGGCGTATGGTATGCGATGTAAGAAGGTATAACATGGAGAGAATTGAACACGCTCTGAAAAACGGAGGAAGCATCAAAGCAGTGAAGAGGAAACTTGAGATAGAGAAAAATCGGATGTTTGCGCTAAGGGACAAAGAAGGCGAAATAACTACTAATATGAATAGGATTGTTAAAATAGCACAGGAGTTTTACAGAGATCTGTACAGTAGCCGGGACAACCACGGCCTTAATACTCTAAGAACTAGCAGTAACCCAGATGACACCCCACCAGTAATGATAGAAGTCAGAAAAGCCTTGGAGAGCATGCATAAAGGCAAAGCTGCTGCTGAGGATCAGGTAACAACAGGTCTGCTGAAAGATGGAGGACAGATTGTGTTAGAAAAACGAGCCACCCTGTTTACGAGGTGTCTCCTGACGGGAAAAGTACCAGATTCTTGGAAGAATGCTAACATAATCTTAATACATAAGAAAGGAGATGACAAGGAATTGAAGAATTACAAGCCGATCAGCTTGCTCTCTGTAGTATACAAGCTATTTACAAAGGTAATTGCTAACAGAGTAAAGAAAACATTACAATTTAATCAACCAAAGGAACAAGCAGGATTTCGAACAAGCTACTCAACAATCGACCAGATTCATACTGTCAATCAGGTAATAGAGAAATGCTCAGAATATAACTAACCACTATACATAGCCTTCATAGATTACGAGAAGGTGTTTGATTTAGTAGAAATAGCAGCCGTCATGCAGACACTGCGGAATCAGGGCATCGATGAAGTATATATAAAGATCCTGCAAGAAATCTACAGGGGATCAACTGCTACCATAGTGCTTCATAAAGAAAGCAACAGAATACCAATAAAGAAGGGTGTAAGGCAGGGGGACACAATCTCCCCAATGCTATTCACCGCATGTTTACAGGAGGTTTTCAGAAGCCTAGAATGGGAACAGTTGGGGATAAGAGTAACTTGCGCTTTGCAGGTGACATTGCATTGCTGAGTAAGTCGGGACGAACTGCAACTCATGATGACGGAGTTAGACAAGGAGAGCAGAAAGGTGGGTCTTAAAATTAATCTGCAGAAAACGAAAGTAATGTACAACAACCTTGAAAGAGCAGCGCTTCGAGGTAGGTAATAGTGCACTTCAAATTGTAAAAGACTATGTCTACTTAGGGCAGATAATAACCGCGGAGCCGAACCAAGAGATTGAAGTAAGTAGAATGAGAATGGGGTGGAGCACATTTGGCAAGCACTTTCAAATTATGACAGGTAGATTGCCACTATCCCTCAAGAGGAAGGTATGTCAGCTGTATCTTGCCGGCAGAAACCTGGAGACTTACAAAGAGGGTTCAGCTTAAATTGAGGACGACGCAGCGAGCAATGGAAAAAAAAAAGGTAGGTTTAATCTTAAGAGACAAGAAGAGAGCAGAGTGGATTAGGGAACAAACAGGGGCTAAGGATGTCATAGTTGAAATCAAGATGAGGAAATGGACATGGGTCGGGCAGTGTAGCGCGTAGACAGGATAACCGCTGGTCATTAAGGGTAACTAACTGGATTCCCAGAGAAGGCAAGCGGGTTAGAGGGAGACCGAAGGTTAGGTGGGCAGGTGAGATTAAGAAGTTTCCGGGTATAAATTGGCAGCAGCGAGCACAGGACCGGGTTAACTGGCGAAACATGGGAGAGACCTTTGTCGTGCAGTGGACGTAGTCAGGCTGATGATGATGATGATGATGAGAATCCTGCTGAGTGCTGCATTCCGCGCTCGTACTACTGCCGCACCACCGGGAGCATCAAAGGACCCGCACCAGACATGCTGATTTTACAGGGCTAATCGTCATTCATGCTGACGCCGTCATTTCTTCAAGAATGCTATCGCGACCAAAACCATTTCAGCCATTTCTTCGTACACTTTGCAGTGTCTTTGTACACTTTGCAGCTTCCCGGCTGGGAGGACTATACCTAAGTTTGAACAGCTGTCAGTAGGCTCGCATACTTTCAGCAACTTGTTCGCAGAACCGCGAACATCCCTTTCTGCTTGGCTCAAGCACCAATCTTAACAGTTCGTCCGCTGGCGGGAGACCCGACCTGAGGGTGGCCAGCTGCACAGGTCGCCTGAAGCATCTGTGTTTGTGGGAGTCCTCCAGGTCACTGCTGATGACTCCCAAGGAAATCATTCCAGCTCGCTCGTCGTTCATTTCTTCCCCTGTTCAAGCGCCAGGAATCTGCTGCGAGTCTACCAGGCCTCATACTGAAGACGAGGGGTCTCGAAGTCTACGATGGTGGTAGTCATGCCAATAGAACCTCACACAAACAAAGGGAAACAGCAGACAGAACAATATAGGTGCCACAACATTACACCGTGCACAAGTGTTCAGAATCTGCCTTCAACTTGCCAGGACTGTCAAAAGAGGATGTTCATAATACAACTCAAAATTTAGAACCCCTTTAAATTTTGACGCCTAAGAGGCACTCCAAACAAAACTAGTGACCATCTACCCCAGTAAAGCTCTACGCAAGACAGCAATTATAATGACACACAACAATAGGTCAACAACACTTGGGAGCTATTTAGTCAACCTATCAAGGAAAAGGCTGAGAAGGTTTTTTTCCTTTCTTGTTCCGGATGAAAAAGTTGTACCTTTGGAGGACAAGACACCCTTGGAGCAAGCGTTCTTTTTTCTCAGAAAGCCATTACATTCAGGCTATCTATAGGAGTACAGTGACAAACACAGACTGATAAAGAAAATGATACCATTGCCAGTAACGTTCTTTGTACGTAACTCCACCTCCATGAACTGCCACATGTTGGGTTGTTGGAGTTCCCAGCTTATGTAATCACATAATCGTCAAACATCGATACGAAAACAAAAGGGATTAATCTGCCTGCGTACATGCCCGTCTCGTTAATCTTATAACCTACCGCTCTTAATAACACATGCACAATGATCTTCTGGGTGCTTTAACTTTTAATTTTTAAACTACTCACATTCACAAAGGACACATGTGAAAAAACTACTAAAAAAACTTCCGAATGTACAAGAAGAAAACTCACAAGCAA